TTGCTCATCAATTTGCCTTCAAATATAAGAAAAATGATAGTCATCGTGTGACTGTTAAATGCAAAGCAGATGGTTGTCCGTGGAGAATTCATGCATCAAGGTTGTCAACTACTCAATTGATATGTATCAAGAAAATGAATTCAACTCATACCTGTGATGGGGCTTTTGCAACAACAGGGCATCAAGCAACTAGAAGTTGGGTGGCCAGTATTATAAAGGAGAAGTTGAAAGATTTTCCAGATTACAAGCCCAAGGACATTGTGAATGACATCAAACAGGAATATGGAATTCAACTTAACTATTTTCAGGCATGGCGCGGGAAAGAGATTGCTAAGGAGCAGCTTCAGGGTTCTTATAAAGAGGCATACAGTCAGTTACCTTTCTTCTGTGAAAAACTAATGGAGGCTAATCCTGGGAGTCTTGCGATGTGCACAACAAAGGAAGACTCAAGCTTCGATCGTCTCTTTGTATCACTTCATGCTTTGTTGCATGGCTTCCAACAAGGTTGTCGACCACTGATTTTCCTTGATAGCATTCCATTGAGGTCAAAATACCAAGGGACGTTGTTGGCAGCGACTGCCGCAGATGCCGATGATGGTGTATATCCTGTTGCCTTTGCAATAGTAGATGATACTGAATCTGATGATAGCTGGCATTGGTTTTTACTTCAACTCAAATCTGTGCTGTCAACATCTTGCCCTATAACATTTGTAGCAGACAGAGAGAAGGGGCTGAAAACTTCAATTGCTGAGATATTTGAAGGTTCATTTCATGCATACTGCCTACGATACTTAACTGAGCAACTTTTTAGAGACTTGAAAGGGCAGTTTTCTCATGAGGTAAAGCGACTCATGATTGAGGATTTATATGCTGCTGCGTATGCAACCAAACCAGAAGGCTTTCAAAACTCAACTGAGAGTATTAAAAAGATTTCTGAAGAAGCCTACAATTGGATTATTCAAAGCGAACCCCAGAACTGGGCAAATTCTTTTTTTCAAGGTACTAGGTATAATCACATGACATCAAACTTTGGGGAGCTGTTCTATAGTTGGGTAGCTGATGCAGATGAATTGCCAATAACACAGATGGTTGACGTAATTAGGAGTAAGATTATGGAGTTAATCGCTTCCAGGAAGGCAGCATCTGATCAATGGGAAACTAGGTTGAGTCCATCCATGGAAGATAAGCTTAAGAAGGAAAGCCAAAAAATTAATTCACTTTCAGTTCTTCAATCAACCAGTAGCACCTATGAAGTTTGTGGCGACACGACTGAGGTAGTTGATATTGACAGGTGGGAATGTAGCTGTAAAGCCTGGCAGCTGTCTGGTGTGCCGTGCTGTCATGCCATTGCCGTGATTGGTGGCATTGGCCAAAGTGTTTATGATTATTGTTCCAGATACTGTACAACCGAGAGCTACAGGTTGACATACTCAGAGATTGTACATCCAATTTCAGATGTTGAATTGTCTGCTTCGAAAGATTCTCAGCTTGTGGTAACGGTAACACCTCCTCCCACCAAAAGACCGCCTGGTCGGCCAGCTACAAAGCGATTTGGATCTCAAGAAGTAGTCAAACGTCATCTCCATTGCAGCCGATGCAAGGGACTTGGGCATAACAAATCTACTTGTAAGGAGTAATTATAGCGCTGTATAATACCATAGGTAAGTGCTTTCTTTAATAGAACGAATTTTATTGCTATGCAGAATCCTGAATTTGCTGTTGAATCTTAGAAGAGCAATGTTGGGTTGACAACGAACTAATTTATTTTCTTCAATGATTTCATAGCAGAGTTTCAGCCAAGGATCGATATCACAAGGATCTGTACAATGCCATCTAACTGATTTTCTGAAGGGACTACGAAAAACAAGACACTAGAGTTACTGTAGTTTAGGTGTACAATAAGCATGGTAGTTCGATGGTGTTTAGTATTCTTTTGCACATGGTGAGGAGTTCGATTCCCCTCGATTGGAATTTCTCCTTAGTTTTGGATAAATGAATGTGATGAAAGTGTGGCAGACATAAAATTAGGGAAGGTGAAATAAAATGATCTGCTTTTAGTAGTTAGGAAGATAGATTCTGCTTCCACAATTGCACTGATTGTAAATACAAGGCCAATAAAGAGTAGATTGGGAGTTTCTCTGCATGATTGTTCTAAAGTTAAATTAATTTCAAATCATTTAATGTAACTTAAATAAGTCTTATATTAATTTTACTCACTTGCTGAAACATATGCACAATGTGATTCGTGGAGTAGATATGAATAAAGGATAAAATATATTTATTTATTTGAGACAAAAGCGACATAAAAAGGTAAAAAATATTTCTAAAACAATAATAAATTAAAATTAATTATTTGTATAATTATTAATCATTTTTTATTAATAAAATATTTTTTTAAAATTAATATTTTTAAATTTATATATTTTCTAATAATATTTATTTTGATATATAACTATAAAATATTTTTATTATAAAATTATATATTTTTTACAAAATATTAAAAATTTAAATTAATAAAACAATATCATATTAATATATATATATATATATATTTAATTATTTATTTTAATTTCTATAATTTTTTATATTTATGACATTCTATCAAAATAATAATTTAAAATTAATATAAATATAACTATATATAAATTTTAAAATAAAATAAATAATAACTTATTTAAGTGAAAATAATTAAAAAAAATATTTTCTTATATTTTTCATTACTTTTTATTATACTTGAGTGAAAAATAAAATATATATTTATCAAATTTCTTATTAATAAACAAATAAAAATATTTTATTTTCATTTTTTTATCTATTTTTTACTTCTCTTGTAAATTTACATAGCTTAAAATTAGAGAATGATTTCAGTTGGTAACAATGGCATGTGGACGTTTAAAAAATAAAACTAGACTGATTATATATTTAGAGTTTTGATTTTTTTTTAACATTTAAATTTATTAATCTAATCTTAATCTAAATAATTAAATATATTTAAAAAAACTTCATAACAAATTTAATATTTTTATATTTTATCTAAACTTATTTGTAAATATCCGTGACCGCTTAAGGTTAACTGCGGTAAACAAGAATTATAAGTTATTAGAAAATAGTACATATCCATTAACAATGGGTGAATCATTAAAGCAATGAACAACCTATTATTTTTTTATTTTAAAAATATAAAAAAATATTTATGATGTCATATTATTTTTAACTATTCATATTTTATTTTATTAGATTTTTTTATTAAATTTTGAAAAAATTATTTACTTTTTTATTTATTTTGATTTTCATAAATTTATAAATTATTTAATAAAATAATTATAAAAATTTGAACAAAATTTTTTAAATAAAAAATAATTTTAAATAATTAATTCTTTATTTAAACCTCTCGAAATAATAGCGATGTCCAACCAACTTTTCTTTTTATATGTTTCAATCTACAATACAAGGTTTCATCTCTCAATTGTTACAACTTTATTTTATAAATTTCTCCTCTAGAAATATGCTCCAGTACCCTAAATTTATTAATATCAATACTAAAAAATTAATTTTTTACTATTATTAATAATTAATGTCAATATACTTTTATTTAAAAATATATGATTTTAAAATTGAATTACATAACAATCATTATTTTATTTTAATAAATTTATTATTATTTTATTAATATATTTTTATTTTAATATTTTTTATTCATTTTTTTATAATTTATTATTTTTTCTATAATAAGAGTATAATTAATAAAAGCATAATTAATATAATCTTAAAATTTATAAATAAGGTATATTTTAAAAAAATTCTTAACAAAACCTCATATTTTAAACTAGAGAAAGTAATATGCCAAATATATTTTAATATTAATAATTTGTTATTTATTTAATTATTCTAAATTTTGTTAAATGTTGATAATTATATTTAATTAATCAAATAATTAAATATTAAGTGTATCATTAATAAAAATAGTTTGAATAATATTAATATTAAATATTATTATTATCATGAATTAAAAATTATTAATAATAGTAAAAATGATGGATATTAAAGGAAATTTATAAATAATAATAGTTTTAAATCTATATTAACATAAATTAATAACAAATAAAATAAAATATTAGTTAATTATTATATATTTATTTTAAATATTTAAATTAACTATTTTTTATTTTATAAATTATATAATAATTGTATAGGTTGTTAATAGAATTAAATTAGATAATTAATTTTTGTTTGTATTATTAATTAAAATTTATTATAAGAGAAATAGTAATAATTATGTAGAATTAGAATTAATTTAAATATTTTTTATTAAATAGAAAGCTTAAATTTATAGTAAAAAATAATAAAAAAATATAATTTCTTTAGTTAGTAAAAAATAAAATTGATTAGATAATAATAAAATTTATAATCTAATAATCAATTTAAAAATAAAATTAAAATAGATCAAAATTAATTTTTTATTTAATATTTATTAAAAAATATTAAAATTGATCAATAATTAATAAATTAAATCAAAATTATAATATGTAATTAAAATTTAATTAGTTTATTAATTTAAATTTTATTATTATTATATAAATTAAATATAAAAAATATTAAAATTATATATCATAATTATAATATATTTAATAATTTTATTAATAAAAGTAACACAAATTAAATTATAAGATTTTGTTGAGTTCAACTTTTTTTAAATTAAAAGCAAATTAAATTAAACAACTATTAAATTTAATATTATATTTTAATTTGATATGAATTTTTAAAAATTGAAATCAAATTAAATAAACCTTATTTAATTTAATATTACTTCGAGGCTATAGTATGGTAAAAAAAATAAAAAGATGATAAAAATATGTTTAGTTACCTTTGCGCAGCATAGCAACAAGTACGTAATAGAACCCCAGTCATAGAAAATCCTCCTTCTATTCTCTTCTCTTCTCACCCATTCCCTTCCATCCAAAACCCTAAAACTCTTCTTTCCAAACCAATCTGCCATTGCCATGAACCTTCCCCCTACTAAACCCACTCCTCCGCAGCCAGACACTGCCCAAAAGTCCGAATGCGGCCACTGCGCCTCCAAGGACAGCCGTCTCTTCCACCGCCTCTGGATTCGCGGCATGAACCGCCGCGTCTGCACCTCCTGCGTGCTCCTCCTCCACCCCTCCTCCTTTTGTCCCTCCTGCTTCCAATTCTTTGACCACCCTCTCTCCAACACCTCCTCCGCCTCCGCCCACCGTTTCCTCTCTTGCACCAAATGCTCCTCTCTCACCCACCTTGATTGTCTCCCTTCCCCTCCCCCTTCCTCCACCTTCCTCTGCCCCCCTTGCTCTCAACCAAACTTTTCTTTCTTCCCCGATTCCACCTCCCCCCTTGACAAACGCCGTGCCCTCATCTTCCTCTGCGCCTGCAAAGTCGCGGCAGCCGCAGCTGCCAAGTCCCTGTCCCTCGCCCGGGCCCGTGTTGAGCGAACAGTCCGCGAGGCAGCCATTGCGAGAAAGAGGGCCCGGGACGCTCTCGACCATTGCTGCATTCTCGACAAGATTAAGCGCCTCGGCCTGGAAGGCAGTCTCGAGGTTTCCAACGCAAGGAATTTGGGAACGCATCATAACAATGTTGTGTGTAAAAAAGAGGAGTTGAATAGCTTCACAGGACAGACTAACCTAAATGTTAAGGTTCCTTCTGAGGTGCTGCCATTGTCTCGCCCTGTCATTAAAAATGGGAATAACGAAGGCAAATTTTTGAATCGATAGGGTAGGATAGTTGATGTTATCTCTACTAATAATTTGTAGGTGGCACTGGAAACCCATTTGGATTTATCCAAGGTAATTCCCCTGTTAAATAATTTTTGAGAAATTGTCCTTTTAAAATTATTGGGATTAAAAACACTTTTTTTTCCTCTTATATTTTATTCAGTGAATGGTGCTGGTTTTGTGGATTAAGTTATGTACAACTTGTTTGAATGCAGGTAGAGGAAGAGAGTGACTGTGTTCTAGATTTATTATTGCGGTGGAATTTTGAGTAAGAACACATTTCACTTGTATTGAGGTGTTTTTTTCTTCTTTTTTTTCTTGAAGCATGCGGCAGATATGGTTCATTTTCCATTCCCATATACCTCTGTAAAGCCTCCAAAGTGAGATGTGATTATGCGATTTAAGTGCTAGGGTGCAATTATTCAAGCACATTTTTCCTCCTTAGATCAGATGGTAGTCTATTCTTCTATGATCTCTATCCGATTTTATTTTTTTACTTCATAAGTGGTTGAATCTGATGGGTGACCAGTTCAGTTCTTCACAATGAGTTTGGCTATCTTGGATTCATTTGCTATCAGTTTTGGAAGTGATTGGATATAGGAATTGTTAAAATTTTACTCTTTGATCAAAATGTTATAATAGTGCATCCAGGCAATTATTCAATTAACGAAGATACAGTTAACTATGTTTTTTATTTTTGAATTTTTCATCTTAAATTTAATTTTTGGTTTTTTATTTTGAAAATTGATTAATTAATTTTAAAAAATAATACGTGAAGGTAAAAAATAATTTGTTACTAGATATTAATTTTAGGTATAAAGAAGAATTAAAATAATATATTTTTTAAATTAGTTAAATTCATCAATTTAATTTTAAGAAAAAGTATACGAATCAGAAAAAAAATATATATATATATATATATATATATATATAATTTGTAATTTTTAGCTTTTTTTCCAAGGTTTTAATATTGCGTTGAAAAAGATAATATAAGAATATTATTTGTGGTGTCTTCTTTTAATATATTTTAAAAATTGGGGTCATACAAGACCATTTTAATATTGTTTTCATAAGGTGTCTTTAATAACGGTGATTGACTCTTATGCCTTATTTCTAGTGTTCTGAAATTTATTTATATAATAATATATTTATAGTCAGAATTTAAATTTCTTGTTCCTTTTCTTCGCGTGTATGCATGCCCTCATCTTGTTTCCAACCTTCGCATATTTCTTACCAAAAGATTAGTAGCAGTATTCATCTTACTGAATTGAGGAATCATGTCCTTTCACCCACAGTTTTTCTGATTCAAAACACATCCTTCAATAGGGTTTAATGATAAAATGTATATTAGTTTGGCTAACACTTCTTAACAAGAACCCCTACTCTTAAGGTTTACAAATCAATAGCCATGAAAATAGAAAACTCCTCCACTTTTATCCAATTTATCACGAAGCAAAATTGATAATTTTACTATGCATTGCATACGAAAGAAGAGCTACGAACATAAATTCAATGTTAATCTTTTTGCAAATGTCAAATTCTTGATTCATGGAATTTCTTTTAGAAAAGCAAAATTCTAGTCCTCTCCTTATTCACATTCTGTTTGGTGTTTTGACATAATTGTTCCAAACAAGTTTGAATTATGTCCCTAGTCCATGGAAACAAACATTTATTTCTATCTTTATAGTCTTAATTATGAAGATAAACACTTACTTGATTTGATAAAAATATAATATCGTCTTGATTTGAAAATCAGAAGATTAAATCAAACAAATTAAATTTATGTGAATTATTCTTTTTCTCCTTAAATTTATTCTCATATCTTAAAAAATCCTTCAATTTGACAATTTTTTTTAGGACATTTTTATTTTTTATCTTTAAAAATAATTGGTTAAGTAAAATATATCATAATCTCCCATATATTTGAACAGAAAATAAAATTTTAAGTTTTAGACAACAAATTTATGGGCGTGCCAAGCCACAGTTTATAGAACTAACAGAGATAGTAAAATAAAGAAGCACTATTTCAAATGGCAAAAAAATAGGTCTCATTCTTTCTGGTGTTTTTAGTGTATTTCTTCAATCAAAATTACAGTTTCATTTCAATATTTAATGCTGGTTTCACATGCCAATCTTTATTTGTGAGTTATGAATACAAAAATTGGTGAATAACATAAAAATAACAAGGATTACCTTATTCCAAAAGTTGTAAAACATTAGAGGAACTCTACTGTTGTACATAATGATCCTAGTATAATGTCCACAATTTTTTGTTTCTACTATTGACACACATGATCACTTTGTGACTGTTATTGATCACAGGATACAGAACACATGGATGAAAATGTTACTCTCCATAATGTGTGTATCATCTCCATTTTATTTATCTTTTAAAGAGCTTATAAAATTGAAAAAAAGGACAAGTAGAATACAGCATGCTTTAATGGACAAGCTAATTTTAGTTTACTGAGAAGCTAATTTCAATTTTTTGTTCATATGTTTTTCTATGAAATCTATAAGAAACTTGTCTAAACAAAACTACTTCCATCTCATCTCATAAAGTAAGTAGCTTTCCTTCCAGCAATCTTTCCACCCTTCAGGTGATATAGCATGGGGCAGAACCCTCAATAAGTAAAAAGTCAGTACACCATAATGTCAGTTACCTCAAAAAAAATCCTCTTTTAAATCAGTTGGTATCTAGCATTGTCAAATTACCATGGATGTAGAGAATGAGAAGTCATCTGCGAGATATAAATTAGACAGATTAGATTCCGGAGATCAATTGAAAAAAATTAGAAGGTCATGGTTTTAATGTGAGAGCAAGTGGTTGCATTAACTCTCTAAGAAAAGAATCTTAAATCCTCAAGGGACCACAAGCTGGTAATTTGCTAAAAACTTGCAATTTTTTAGGCCATTTGATTGCAGTAAGAAGAATAAAATAGCTTAATAGACAAAGCAAGACATGTATACAGTGTAAAAAGGTGTAAATCTATCTTTCTAAGTAAAGTCATATCCAAATCACTAGTCGTTCCACATCTTACCTAGTAGAGCATGGCAAATAAACCTGACTACGGTAACATCTGTCCATTTGCATCTCTTGAAAGAATTGTCAGTGAGCCAATAGTTTCCATTGCTGCAAGACTAGGTGCTGAATAACCAAACCTTGATGAATGGAGCAGCACTCATGATGGAACTGGCATGTTAATAAACTAAGATTCTTTTTATAGAATGCTGAAGCTTCATGTATCCCCCAGGTCTTCTGCAAGAATATTGCTAACAGAATCTAGTGAGGCAGAATCATCAAACAACATTGCTTGACTCCTTCCTTCTCTAAGATCAGATCCAATCAATAAGTTATGAGTGGTTGGATCAGGAACCCAACCCTTTTCTAACATTGAATCAAGTAATCGTCGGGCCTCGCGTTCCCTACCCTCTTTCAACAGGCCGGTTATCAGTAAACCATACATTGCTGAATTCAAAATGTCACTGCCATAAATTCTATCAATTGCACTACAAATCATAGATAACTGAGAATGATTGACCATGAACAACAGTTGATCAAATAGTTGGTTTGGATCAGGTATTAGACCTTCATTGACCATTATATTGAAAAATAAAACACATTCCTTTATTTTGTTATGTTTACTCATACTTTGAATAAGAATACAATATGCTTCCACATCAAGATTGATACCAACCATCAACATTTGTGAGAGGAAGGCTAACATATCTTCTGCCTTCCTTGATCTTAACAACTCACGCATGATGGCAGTGTGTGTGGCAATACAGCAAGAAATAGCACAAAAATAAGCTAATTGCCATAGTCTTATGGCTTCGTGGACCTGTCCTGAGTCACATACACATTTTACCATCTTGTAGAAGGCCAAGGAGTGAAGAGAGCATCTCTTCACTGACATATAGTTAAACACTTCAATGGCATCTTCAGAATGTTTGATGTCACAGAGACCACTAACTAGTTCAGAATATGAGGCAAAATCTAAAATCCAGCATCTGGCACGAATTTGATGAAATAGTTCCATTGCTTCTTCATACTTGCCCAATCTACAGTTGCCAACTACAAGAGCAGAATATGTTGCACAGTCAAGAATAACAAATGATTTAACCATTCTGCCAAGAAGTGTATATGCCTTCTTGATATCTTCATTCTCACAAAGCCACCTAATGAGAATGTTCCAAGATTGGCAATCCGCTATGTTTCTCTCGGACATTCTCTCCAGCAGAACATTTGCTGCCAGAATTTCACCAGAATTGCAGCAACCTTCAAGCAATGTATTGAAAGGAGCAGTTTCATGAACTTGTATATCTTCTAAAAACACTATACCCTCGTTAATTTTCCCTAATTCACAAAAGCAATTCATCATATCAATAAGAACCTTATGTTTTGGTGGCATACCACTTTCTGTCATCTCATTTATGAGGCCAACAGCAGAATCCAACTGCAAGTTGTTGCAAAAGCACCTTACTAGAACCTCATAAATGAAAGAATCAGGCACAAAATCAGAATCTTTCATCATTTTAAACAACTTTACCGCCACCTCTACTTTATTTTCTCTGCAAAAGAGAGGTATCGTGCAGGTATAAAAACTCAAATCTGATTGACATTTGAATTCAAACAGTTGCTCCAAAACAATAGCAGCTTCTTCCACTCGACCATTTTCAATGAGACCCTTTACAAGAATTTCAAAAGTCTTACTATTTGGATTGCATCCTTTGTTGTTCATTCTCCTAAATTGATCCAAAGCCAAGTCAACCCGATTGGTGGCAGATAATGCCTCCAACAAATAATTCAAAGTGTCAACTGTGGGTAATACACATGCCTTCACCATCTCTTTATAAACAAACAAGGCATTTGGAAAATCTCTGCTCTCTCCTTCCACAAGAGCACCCAATAAAACATTAAAAACTTCAATTGGCGGTCTATACCCACCCAAATTCATGTTGACTAAAACTGTAATAGCTTCTTTAATCCTACAATGCCCCACAAATGTGTGAATCAATGCCACAAGAGCTTCTTCAGCACCGGGGCACCTATCCTTCACCATGTTTTCACAAAATTTCCTCGTTTCCAAAGAGTTCCCCGCCATACCCAGTTTCAAAATTATCCTAAAATATGTGTTCGAAGTGTGGTGAAAATTCTTCTGTCTCGAAGCCCATTTGAATATCCTAATTGCTGAGTTCAAACCATTTGTACGGTCCAAAATCCGGATTAAGTTGTCTGGGGCAAGCTTATTTCTCAAAAAGTTTAGATTTTGATCAAATTCAGATGAATCCTTGGGCTTAATAATTCCAGGGTTTTCTGAAATATCTGCAATACAGCTTGAAGAGAGAGAAACCCATCTGAGGAATCGAGTAGGATGAGCCGCAGATGGGAGCTTTATTGCCATGGAACAAAGTCAAAGAATAATTGAAGAGAAGGGAAAATTGAAATCTGACCTGAGTACTGAGAAGGATGTTTGTCGTCGATCATGTATCGAGTAAAATTTCAGAAGTCGGAGTTCAATATGTGCTCAAAGAAACACAAGGCAAATTTTGTGATTCTAGACGGTTTTTTTTTCTCAGTCTTTGGGTGAAAAAATATAAATAAGTTGGATTAATAACTTTTTGATATTTTCGATTTTTACTTTTTGATATATGTTTTCATTGGTAAAGGAAAAAAAATAAAGAGAAAAGAAAAATGAATAGATGAAATTTGATTCTGTCATATAATTGTTCCTTAACTAAAATGTTTAAGTTAAATAGCTTCTCGAAATTTTATTCTGTCATAAAATGTTTACCAAATTGTTGTGTTTGCTCAAAACAAATACACTAAATAGTTTTTTTTCTTAGTTATTTTAGAAAGCAATTTTTTAAAATTATTTAAAAAAAATAGAAACCAAAATACAATCGAACAGGACTTCATTTAAATACTGATTTTTTTAACATTATAAATTTGTTACAATCATTTAATTACTGAAGTGTAATGTAACTAATTGTTTACCAGGCATCAAATTCAAGTTCATTGATTAATCCGAGTCTAATAAAAATTTACGTGCATACAGAATAATAAATTATACTCAGAAAGCTGTATAACAACTATGACGGACTTATCAAGTTGTTATTGATAAAAATTATAAATATGAAATAATTTTAGAAATAAAGAAGGTATTAAAGAAAACAAAAATAGTGAAAAGGATAACCAAAGAAAATCAAACCGATGAAATTGAATCAATAGTAAAAAATAACTTAGAACGAAAAGATCAATAAGAGATTGGGTTGAATAAATAAAAAATTAAATTGAAAAGATATAGTATGATAAATCAAATATCAAATATTAAATAGTTGGAAATATCGAGTTGTAAAAACAATCTTATTAAATTATATATATATATATATATATATATGACTATTGATGTTACGTGACAATAAAATGAGTAAAAAAAAAGTATCTATTTTCAAAAATCAAATAATTAAAAATATTAGGATTACAAAAAGAATAACTTCCATGATATATGACCTATCAACGTTATGTGACAACAAAATGGATATGGAAAAGTAATAATTTATAAATTTGTATTTATATTTTTATGTATTTTAGTTGATATTATTTTAATTTCATTCTATTTCTTTTATATATATATATATATATATATATATATATATATATATATATATATATATAAGTGTTTTAATGACTACATAGAAAAAATATAAATAAAATAAATATAAAAAGTTAATTGTCAAATTATTGAAAAAAATCCTAACAAAAAAATTTATTCTAAATAAAGAACAAACATTCAATAAAATTCTTTTTTATTTTTTTTTATTTGACTCATCACTTTAATTAATTTTTTTATCAATTTATATTTTACCCTTATTAATGCAGAAGATTTATACTTACACAATTTCCTTTCTTTTTACTATTCTCATAATTTGTTTAAATGTTACAAATTATATTAAAAATTTAAATTATATATAAATAATCTTTAATTAAAATATATTATATCTTAATTATCAAAAGATTATATTAATTGCATATAAATTCAAAAAAATTCATGTTTGTTAGTAAAAACTAAATAATCCGCGAAGTATTTAAATTATTCATCACATTCTTTAATATACACTTATTTAATTAATCGAACAAGTCATTTATAAAACCAGCATCAACATTCATGCAGGAGCTGAGTAAAAATATTCCAAAATCATTAAAAAAAGTATTAGGAATGACAAATTGAACGGGTTATGATGTCACAATCAGGAGTAACTTGCAAGAAAAATGAAAATTACAAAAACAATAAGGCTTTACCAAATTTTCATATACTGCGAGCATAACATTATACAGCATAAGCATTACAAAAAGCATCTATTCAGATAGATATGTATTATACTTTGTTTATACACAGTTTCTAGCATTCAAAGAAAATAGAAGGCCCAGAGACCTATTCCCCACTGAAGGACCAAAATTCCCAATTCGGCTTTGAGAATAACATGCCAAAAGCCAACTCCAAGTAAGGAATAAGCATTAAACATCACAACTGTATAAGCACCACTAGCTAAGAGATGTATGTAGAAAGCATTTGGGCTCCACAATCGTTGATCATTTCCAAAAACTCCATATAGTGATTTCTTCATAGTGAAAATCCCCCAGAAACATGCCTCGAGCATGGATTAATATAGTAAACAATATGCAATACAACAGTTTCTGAATTACAGTCCACAGTCCCTGAGAATAAATATGATTTGATAGACCATTTCTCAAGTGATACACAAACAACGAGGATTCACCTATCTTGCCTGAACCTCGACATACTTCCAGCAAGCATAGTTTGGCCATTAGCCTGGATACTACTCAGGTATCTCCAAAGTTTTTAACTAGAATTGCTTAAAAATAAAATTGAATATTTTATTATGGGTCTCACATTTAAATTACTTAAAAGTTAAGTTGTTTAAAACATGATCAAAATTGTTTATCCAAATAATTTTCTTTCAATTTTAAACAATTTTCTCTATTTTTTATCAAGTCAAATGTGGAATCCATAATAAAATATTCACTTTTATTCCTAAACAACTCTTAACAATGGGAGATGCTCTTAGGAGGCAAGTCATTGGATACGTGGTGTTTGGTTCAGTAAGTCAATCTTCAAACAAAATACGTGTAACAAAATAAGTAAAATCCAAGTTTTCCGCGGAGGGCATATTGCCAAGAAAGATCCTCTATAGTAGACCACAATGGCTGAGAATTTAGGGTTTGTATGTTTCAAATTTCATTTGTTGTCCAAAAGCTAAGTCCCTTGAACAGAACTGAAGAACCTTTCCAATAATCATTTCTGCAAGCTCTAGCATTCGAGGTACTTATCATAAATACTACAAGTTAATTATTACTACCTACCTTTGATTCGCATTAGAAAGAGGTTTATTCAAATAATTCCTGATGTCCTAGTCCAACTGGCTGCTAATATATTCAGTAACTGTTTCATTTTCACAGCATGCCTTATGCAGTTAATGGGCATGCTATTACCTCTGAATCAGAATTGACCTCAGTAAGGGTGATGTTAAGTGGTTGCCAGCCCAATTGTTGATGCACAATCCATTTTTTAATGGTAATCGCTATGTTTAAAATCTGCAAGACGTCACCCATAGCATGATTTTTCAAGCACATATTCTTAATGACAATACCTGCTTCATACCTAAAGAAAAGACAAATATAGACGTAATGAGAAACAGAAAATTTTCAGCAAGTGAAAATAAACTAAATTATAATATCCTTACTTGCACTGAGTACCCATTATTGCTAATCTTCCAGAAGGAGTAGTTAGAAATTTTTTAATTTCATTCCATGTCTCTTTTGTGTACTTCTTAGGATTACGACCCATAGGGTTTACACACTGCCAAACCTTATCATTCTTACCAACAAACAACTGCAAAGCACCTACATTCTGCTTCACTACCATCTGCTGCTCAATAGCACTCTCCAGAGCCTTCTTGACATCTGTGTTGCGATGCTTGGGATCTCCACATCGAATACAATCTGTTATATTTGACTCAGTTGGCATAATTTTTTCAGTTTTTAGTGTGTTCAGGGCAAGTAAAACTACCCCTATAAGACCTTGGACGTATTCAGAAGGTTTAGGAAATCCTGGAGATCCCCGCTTACCATTACCAGAAAGGATATTATCACCCACAGTTGCCGATGATGTAGGTTGGTATTCTGGACCATGTGAAAAGCCGTTATACAGTTGTTGTGTGTACAGTATCATATGTCCATTTTGTTCATCAATTGACTTAACAGAATTTGGAGAATTACAGTTGGAACCCTGATTCAAGTCCCCGTTCCGTTGTTTAACAGGGCGTGGAACGTGAGCATTACTTAGATGTCCAGAAATTTTCAGATTGCCAATATCTGGCACATTTGTAAGTGGTGCTGCAGAGAAGCTGGGCCCACCAGTCCTAGGTGGCACCACTGAAGTTGCTAAAGTTTGGGAATTTGGAGAAAATGAATTGCTTGATGCAAAAGGAGGCTGCAAAGGAAAAGGGTTTGATCTTAATGGCTGTGAATATGGAGTTTGAAGATTGCCTTGTAGATTACCATTATTGCCCCGCATTTGGTCAGGATTGCCACGAGTAAAATTTGGTGTAGAATTACTTGGGGGAACATTATGGGTATAGTTGCCAGGTCGAGAAGAATTTATATTGCCATAATTTTCTTGAAGTCCAACTGGAGCTGGATTCACGACCTTAGGTCCATTTGGTTTACTGGAATTTCTCCCATTCATTTTCCCATGATGTCTAGAATCAAGTTGCCTTCCTGTACTTGGAAATTTCTGAGTTCCGGTATGAACTTCTGAAAAGGATTCCACGTAATGTGGTATTTGAACTGCGTTAGGGACTGGAACCGGCAATGTGTCAAAAGACAATTGGATGCTATTATTACTAAGTTGATGTGATTCGTCATTCATGAGGGGAGGTCCTCCAGCCAAGAGACTAGTCCAAAGCCACACACTCTTAGCAGCTGCTACAAGGGGTGCAGAAGCTTTCTGTGGTTGTGCGAGAAGAATATTATACCTCCTCAGTCGCAACTGGTGAAGAGGATTGGAGAAGTCTCGATCACCAGAAATTAATAAGTAATTAGCAGGTGCAGGATTATCCACGGCCCAGAACAGCATGTGAACAATAATCTTTTTGTCGCTTGCATCTTTAACACCTGGTAGCAAAAATATGAAAACATCAGTTACACGAAATCTTAATTTTAAGTTTCACATTAACAGGAAAGCAGGTAAATTTGCAACAAACTATCCCTAGAGCTCATAACGTGATAAGAAGGCACTTCAACAGAGAAGACTAACAAATCAGTAAACTCATTGGCAAACCCTTATTATGATCGCTATAAACACGATTGCCACCCGCCCTACCCTGGCTGTTCAAGTTTCATCTTAAATGTCTTGTTTGGAAGCACGGAAATAGGAGTGAGTGGAAAAAAATAGGAGTGCAAACAATATTACTTGTTTGATTGAATGAAAATAAAATAGGATCCACTAGATCCGTTCCACTTTATTTCCATTTCTATCTCTTTTATTTCTATTGTCTCCAGCAAAAACAGCAGCGGATTTTTTGAGAGCCGAGAGGCAGTGACTGCCCAAACCCAAAGTTTTATAACTCTAATATAATTCATGATTTTTTTTTTCTCCTAAACATTTAATATATTTACTTATTTATTTACAATTTTATATTATGAAAACTTAATCATCTTTTAATATATATTTAAGTACAATTCTAATATCAATACCACTGAGCAAAAGGGTCCTAAAAGATAAGCATGATTGAACACCGAGAAAATTAAACAAATTAACAAGGCAGAGACGATCCAGGTAGTGTTAAATATAAGCGAAAGGACAGTGTTAAACTGTCTCTCATTTTTTTTCTTGTAATACTAAAAAATATAGCTTTGAATAGATCGGATTTAAATGGTGTCGTTTGATCACGGAATCAAGTACAAGCCCCAAGCGTTTGTTCGAGGTTAAATTATTGGAAACATCACAGCAATGCATCCTTCTTCCTGAACCGTAGTAGACAAGTCACAAAATCGATGATAATAATAATAATACACACGCATAAACACAACACCTACAGTATTAAGGTAGGTTAGGCTTTGTTAAGCGTGCGATTCGAGATGAATAATTTTGAAGGAATTGAATAGAATATTTGGATTGTTAGAAAAACAAAGGAGCCTAAGTCAAAGCGATACATGCAAGCAAAGCAAGTTTGGAGTTGAATGGAAGAGAAAAGATGGGTTACCGGCGGGGACATGGTTGAGGGAGATGCCGGTGCTGGAAAGGGCGTGCTGGACGGAAGCAGTGATGCGAGTGGTGTCTCCGTAGGCGGAGATGGAAACGGGGCCACAGTAGTTCATACGAACAAGGGCAGAGCTTATGTTCTGGGCAATGGCGTGGGGATCGCACCCTTTGGGGACGTGGCAGTTCTCTATGTCCCACCACACCGACGTCTTGGCCGACGAGTACTGCGCCTCCGCGAGCGCCGTGGACTCTCCGCCTCCGCCCATCTTATTGGTTCTCGAACCTTCCTTTGCTGTGTACAGTTGGATGAAGTCAAAGCTATTCTTAGCCTGTCGCTACTGTTAGAGGTGTGGTTGGGGGTTTAGTTAGAAGGAAAGGAACGATGTCCATGTGATTTGACGAGCTTGCCCTTATGGGTTTGGAATATGGAGAGTGCGGTTGGAAAAATGAGAATGGACTTGACTCAGAGGAGTAGGCTGTCCCTGACGGTAAGGTAAGTTTCATTCCACTTCCCTCTTTCGGGTCAGCTTCCACGTTGGACGTTGTCTTTTTTTATTCTTATTTTTTACTTTTTCCTTTATCATTTCTTTTTTTTTTTTTTAACCCCGCGTGCCTTTTTCTTTTCATCGTGTTCTGAAAAGGGTGAACTGTTATGACGCCCAATGTCTGTGCCTTTTCTTTTCAGTGGCTGCGGTGGTTAGATTGCGATTTTTTTTTTCCATGGAATTCAATTAAAATATTTTGGATAACACACACGTTAATTCAAAAATTTATAAAATTGTAAAATATAATAATATTTATTAAATATATATATATATATATATATATCAAATAAATATATAAATATTATATATATATATATGTATTTTAAAATTTGATATATATATATATATATATATATATATATATGAAATTGTTAGTGAGAAATCTACAAAAGGATCGAGGAAGTGAATGGAAACAAAAAATCGAGAACTATACAAGGGATTAACAAGTCGATGCAATTGCTAAAACACCTGGTAAACACAAAGACAAAAACATATCGAGAGTTGAAATTTAAAATCGAAGGAAAGACTAATATACGTGAATATCGAAATTTTTGCTAAGAAGAACGGTCGATGTATACATCGAACATAGTAAGCGGTAGCAAAAGTCGAAGGTCAAGGGAGCGGTTACCTCATTCATGGGAACGTGGATACAGTTTCTAAACCGCAGAGCTAGGAACAAAACTGCAAAAGACGTGCACAAAGAACGTGGTAGTAGTCTTCGTTAACTGCTCTTAAGAGACTACTTGAAAAGACACTATAAATAGAGCAAAGGATGAAAGGAAAAGGAGCAGAAAATTGGCAGAGAATAGTGAGAAGTCTACCGGAGAAACGACGAACATCATGAAGCTTCTGGCAATCTGGATTTCCATGCTCATTGAGTACCTTTACCGTTTTCTGTATTTTCCTTGGTAATTTACTTTGATGCAATTTATCTTTAGCAATTTTATGTTTCTGTACTTTCGATTTTTGGTCATTTCGATTCAATAAAAGTTAAGTTTCCGCGTTTAAGTTTTCTTGTCATTTAACATTAATGCAATTTCGATTTCCAAGTTATTTATACTTTCTGCACATTTGATTTACTGTCATTTATACTTCCTGTTATTTACATTTCTGCTGTTTCGATTCCCTGTCTTTTATACTTAAAGCAAATTTAAGATTTCCGCATGTTACGTTTCTTTGCAATCTAATGTTCAGCACTGCTTTTCGATTCCACGAATTTTCTGCTTTCTTTACTTCGAGCACTTTAAATATAAAACACCAAAAATAGTATCTTTGAAATCGGGCAAAATTCGATCCTCATACGCATCTCGATTGAAAATTAATTTGCTAGCCTAAGTAAAAAGAACTTACGTGGTAGAATTTTGATTAGGATCAAAATATCTTAAGAGTCGAAATCGATCGAAATTCCACCAGAAACAAATTGGCGCGCCAGGTAGGGGAGCCTTGTGTTAAAAACACAAAATTGGTTAGTTCGAGAGTGTATGAGACTAAGGAGTGGGCGAGTTATAAGCATGAGTCAAAATTCATCAAATAACCAGAGTAACAGTGAAGGTCTGAATGGTGTACATTCACTAAATACTGGGGGGCAAAGTCATAATGGGAATATGCCTGTAACATCGACAACTACGAGTATGTCGATACCTGTGGGTAACGAATAAAATTCAGGTACCTTAACAAACACCCAAGTAGGATCTAATACGGTCGTACCAAATAATATGCAAACTATAGGAAACCTCACAACAACATATGTAGGGCCATATATGAGTGTAAGACCGCCTGGGTTTTCACTTAATAATACGAGCGGGGCTGGAACTTCTTCAACACAGCGGAATTCGAGATATAACTTAGGAATGCCTCAAACACTGGGCATGCCCCAAAATTTTGGAGTCCCTCCGAATTTAGGGACATCTCAAAACTTAGCAATCCCCCAGAATTCAGGAAGTGGACAGAATTTAGGCACATAACAAACGCTTCCAAATCTAGATCATAGAGGAAATCTAGATCATAGAGGAAATTTGGAACATGGAAGATATATATTCGATAGAGATTATCATCGATCCAATTTTGAGACTATCGAAAACACTGGTATTGGGATATCCAGTAACTCATTAGGGATACTTAGACAACAAATGGATGAGAACAATTTTGAGATGGTTAATATGTTGTCACAACAGTTGACTACAGTCCTAAATCCATTAGTTCAAAACACTACTACTAGTTTTGAGATATTAGCATACCAAATGTCACGAATCGGGGATGCATTGGCTGTACCTCGACGAACAAGGGTAGAAAATCATGCTAACCAAAATGCTAATATCAACCCCCCGTATCTATTAAGGAGAAATCGAAATAATGATCAACATCAGTATACGGGGAATGAATACCAACAGATGAGAAATGATATTTGTGGGAATCTGAATGAAGGATTTCAAAATATGTACAATCAGAATAACATGCAGTATAATCACATGTTAGGACAGAGGATGAATTTCCAAGGGATGGAGTTTAGACCACCCAATCAAACATACTTTGTGTCTCCTTTTCCAAATGCGATTCTCGAGACAGAATTACCTCGAGGATACAAAGTACCTAAATTCACCAAATTTGCTGGAGAAGTTGGTGAATCAACTATCGAGCATGTATCTCAATATCAGATCGAATGTGGGGACCTAGCGATGAGCGAGGAATTAAAAATGAAATATTTCCCTAGTTCTTTGACTAAGAATGCGTTTACTTGGTTTACTTCGTTGCCACCCAATTCGATATATAATTGGCTGCAACTGGAAAGAAATTTTCATGAGCAATTCTTTAGAGGAGAAACTCAAGTAAGTCTTATCGATTTGATGAATATAAAAAGATACAATCATGAAAGCATAGATGATTATTTGAATCGATTTAGACTAATGAAGACGAGATGTTTCACTCAAATTCCTGAATATGAATTAGTTAGAATGACCTCTGCAGGTTTAGAATTCTCGATTAGGAAAAAGTTAGTCAATTTACCATTGAATGACATGGCTCAATTAGCTGATAAAGTAAGAAGAGTAGAACAAATTGAGTATGAAAAACAAAGGTACAAGAAATATGAGAAACCCATGAAAAAAGAAAGAGTAGCATATATAAACGATGTATATGAGACAGATCCCATGACAGAAAATGATATTGAAGAAACTGTCGACGAGAAAGTAAATATAGCAGAGCTCAAAGTAGGGGCTCCATATATCTGTAAATTGCTACAAAAGACTGAAGTAAAAGATAAAATGGCAAATCGAACGTATACTTTCGATGTGACAAAGACAAATAAAATCTTTGATATTTTATTAAAAGACAAACAAATTAAGTTGAGTGATGACCATAAACTGTCTTCTGCAGAACAAAGGAATGGTCGAAAATATTGCAAATTTCATAATATTTATGGACATTGGACTAACAATTGCATACATTTCAGGAATACGATCCAAGATGCGATTGATCAAGGAAGACTGAAATTTGAAGAGATGTCAATGAAAGTGGACACGAGTCCATTCGAAGTTCAGGTGGGGTATATTGAATCCCAAACGGGCATGACTGCAGATGTCCGAGTGACGAATCCTACTTTTGTAGGCATGGTCGATGTTACTGAAGACATTGATCCCAAGCATGTCAGAATGGATGTATCCGAAGAAGATATGGTGTTCGACCTGAGTGAATTCGAGAAAGAATTCGAGAGGGAGATCTATCCTCGATCAGGAGATTCTCTCATCGAGTTTTTAAACAGAAAGAAAGAAAAAGATGAAGATGTATCGCTGTGTCCACGATGTAGTGCAGTGTTCGACAAGTCAGCTGCTAAGGCTTTCAGAGTGGAGCAGATAAAGAAAATCGAGAATTAAAATAAAAGAGGTAATGACAAAATGGATCAAACAGCCCAACCAATGATAGGGGAAAGTCAACAGAAATCCGTTGGTTCTGGTGTTAGTGGAAATCAAAGACAGTGGGTTAGAAGAGAGATGTATTCTTCTCGAGGAGGAAGAGGCAAACTCCAGAGTAATGATGTCTTCGAGAGACTGTCGTACGATGAAGGATCGAATACTAGATTCCCAACATTCCAAAGGCGATTCCGTGGAAGGCCCTGGAGAAGAGGAGGAAGGATCCCTTACTGGAATAATTACAGAAACTTTGAAGAGAACAATGTATCAATGGGGGACCAATATGCAAGAGATTATTTTGACGATAAGAATGAGGGCAGCTGGGATGAACATCAAATCGGAGTGATATCGATACTACCCGCGGAATATGTTAATGAATATCAAGAATACCAAGAGCAGAGTGATGCTGATCGAGAAGATGACTTTTATTCAGAAAACATAAGGCCAAAGGTAACATGGGTTGCACAAACATCATGTGAAGTACCTCATAGAGATGCTGCTTTTATTGATCCTCCATCTGAGGAAATGAGGTTCCACCTGAAGCCCCTACTGCTGAATATCGAGATTCAAGGACAAATGGTGAATAGAGTCCTTGTCGATGGTGGTGCAGCAGTGAACATATTGTCAATCACCATGTTGAAGAGGTTTGGTATTGAACTAAAAGATTTAGTCAGGCACAATATCATGATTTCCGATTTCAGCAGAAAAACATCGAGCTCAGAAGGCATGATTGCTTTAGACGTGAAAGTGGGCACTTATTCGAGGCCTACTGTGTTTGTTGTTGTCCAGTCACATGCCAGTTTCAATGCACTACTT